ATAAAAAACAAATAAAAAGGACTAGGATGTAATTCAGTGGTTGCCTGGCCTGTGCAAGGTCCTGGGTTCTTGGGTTCAAATCCCAGTACCACCAAAAAAAATACAAAAAGAAAGGAAAAAGAGCCACGAACTCCCAAGTTGACAAAAGGTGTTTTAGTAAATGGTGATTAAAACAAAACTTTAAAACAAGTTTCATGTCAGTTTAAAATAAAAAGTTTTGGGTTCAAAGACAAAATCTTATTTGTGATTAGGTAATTTCTTTAAAAGTACATTTTTTTTTAAGCAAACGCTTGAGTAGAGAGGTAGGAAGGTGTGGGATGTGAGATGTGAATTGTGGGCATTGGGACAAAAAGAAATGCTCAAATAATTTTGTATGAAATAAGACACAGAATGGGCAAAGGGATAAGAAAACTACTGTTTCCAAAGAATGCTGAACATCTCAGTTTGTCTTGGGTCACAAGTTAGGGGCAATAAGAAGATGTGAACTTAGATAATGCAAAATTCTTCATATTGGAGTAAGGACTTGGGCTTTATTTTCCGTAAATAAGGGATCCACAGCAACAGAGATTTCAAGTAGGAGATTCCAGAGATATTACAGAAGTAGAACAGATAAAATTTGATAACTGATTGAAAGCTAAGTGAAAGAAAGAAATAGAAGTGAAAGATGAGGCTGAAATGGAGTTCAGTAAGGACTATAAAGATTGAAGAACTTAAAAATGGACTTTCAGTATCTCCACTCATTTGTTTATGAAAAGGGGATTTCAAAAGCATAACCAAGATATTTGACTGATACAAATTTTATTTTTCATGCTAAAATTTTTTATAAATTTCATTTTGTCATACACAATTACAAGAGTGACAGTTACAACTGAATTAAAAAAATAGGATTTGGGGCATTTCTATTCATTTGCTATTATCAATAAGCATGTTTTATTACATGAATAGCAGTAATAGTTATAATTACATAATTACTCGATAAGTAAATTTAATAAATGTGCTATTATAGAAGTCACTACATAATATAAACAAAGTAAAATGCCAAATATATTTCACAATGAGAACTGAGAGTTAAAGTCTAATAATACCATCATTGCAATACCTGACCAAGTGGGTCATGTGAATGAGCAAGCATTCCAAATCACTGTCCAAAATCTTTTTTAGTTCAGTTCTAGAAGAAAATGTAACATAAAATACAAAGACATGGCTTGCTGTTATCTTGCATCTAAAATCAGCCATTACATAATGAAATTTTGGATCTTTTGCAACTTGGTATTTGTTCCACCTCACACAACAATTAGAAGATAAATAGCACTTGTAGTACTTAGAATCACCCAACCATAGCTGATACAGTATCTCCCAGACTTCTAGTTTCTAAAATTCTGGGGGAAGTGGGACACTTTGAACTGTAATAGTCTACATGGTAGTAATATTACCTTTGCGCCATTGGCCCAATACTAATTCTTTTTTTTAGTATACAAAATATGCTGAAAACATCTCTCTTAATTAAACACATTTCAATTAATGTAATTAAATAGAAGGCAACAACTTCCTTCTAGAACAGTTAGATTTAGCTATGAAAAACTTGCCATGTATTAGGTAAATTAACTCATGAAATATTTTTTAGGGTTAAATACAGACCTTACTATGTTCTTCAATTTAGAATCTATGCTAAACGTGTGTAAAAAGAACTATAGACATAATTGTACCAGCAGTTCAAAAAATGGAAACTACCATTTTTATCCCTATAGTGACTTTATTTCAGTTGATTTTATCCAAATTAAGGATAAATTTCAAGAAGCCACTATGAAATTTGTTTTCTTAACAAACACAAAAATACACAAATGTTCATTCTAATCAAAGGTTTCAGATGACAACTGAAAGTTTTTACTTTGATATGAGTACATCTGGAATACAGGAGTTAAATTTTGATCCAAGCACATCACAAACATATGTTGTTTTAATGTGACAATAAAAATTTTAAAGAAATATTTAACAGTCTTTTTATCCCACCATTTTGAGCACATATTTTTTTTTTCTTAAAAATAAAATGGTTTACAGTAAACATCTCATTTAAAATCTGATTTTACAAAAAAGTGAGAGAAATAAAACTAATTACTTTTAGATGCACTTGAGCCAAGTAGTTGCTGCTTCTAGTTACTGTGAGCTAGAAATCATTACCTGGTGACATTATGGTAAGTGACCTTTTGGTTATAATCTAGTAACTTGATGTTCACTGCATATTGCTTATCAAAGAAGACTGGTATATATTGGAAAATTCAGAAACTTACATCATTTATAAAGTACCTAACTGAAGCGATTTTCTTAAATAAGAAAAATTATTATATAAAGAACTGTTTTTTCTAACTACTTTGAAAAACAAAGAAAATGGGGGAGAGTTAGATACATGGCCTTCAATGAAATATCCATAATTATATTGCAATAATAAGGCTAAGAACCACAAAAGATTCATTAGGCCAAAGTTTCAAGTCTCCTAATATGTTACTTATATTATGTTTGACAGTTACTTCCTACCTATTTTTATATTGTACTGTCATTTCCAAACTATACACCAGAGGATCTGAGGTGAGTTATATTTTGTTTTTGTGAAATTTTTTAGAGAAAATAATGACCTCATTAGCTTAAGCAAACAAAAACTTACACACAAATAAAACTACAGTCATTTAAATGTTATATACCACAGTAAAGATGGTCATTTAACAATTTTAAGAAATTTATCTGGTATCTAATATTTTCATACTGTTCTTATTTCAAATGTCAAATGCAATAATCACCATTATTTATAAATAATTTACTGATACCATGTCAGTTTTATCTTTATTGGAATGATCAAGGAGCATTAAATCTTAATGAAAAATTAAGCTGTAGAATATTCTCTAAATATCCTCATTTAAATATTTCAGGGAACAACTTAAAGCCACCATAATCTTATTTCATCAGTTCTATTTTGATTGTCACTATTAACCAAGTGAACTTTTCTCTTAATTTTTCATCCCACTAACCTGAGTAAGTAGAGCTTTCCAATGAACATTTTAAATGATAGGGCATAGAGGTGAGACACAGAATAACCCGGTATAGCCCCAATTAAATTATGTACTAAATGTGTGATCTCATAGTAAGTCCCTCAATATGTCCATGCTGCTCTTGCTTCTAGGTGAGGATCCTATCATCTTCCTTTGGAATATGATCTAAGAAAAACTGCAAAAGAGGGCTAAAAGTAGCAAATGTGTAATATACATAATATTGACACATAAAGGCTTTTTACAGTGTTGGATTTTGTGAGAATAACCTAACTATTAAATTGTAACTTAAGTTATTCCTGAAAACATTAGAAAAATGTTGTAATATCATTATCATGTCCCTGGGTAAGGTTTAAGAGCAATTATAAAAATATATTAATACCTATCCTATTCTAGTGTGTAAGAAACCACACTGGACATTGACCTAAGAAAAACTAAAAGTTTCATGCATTATTTCCAGATTGATGTTTTTATGGCTATATTTTTGCCTCTCCTGTAATTTTATTAATTTACAGCCTGTTTTGTTCTAGGCTTATTCTTATAGTTACTCAACTCTCTCTGAACATGGTCATAGTGATTTTTTTTTTTTTTTTTTTTTTTTTGTCTTCTACTGGTCTTTTTGCTTTTTTTAAATTCTAGGGTTTTTTTTTTCCTGATTCAATCTCCATTGAAACTAGATACAACAAAGAGTTTTCATTTTAAATAGTAAAGAAAAGACATTAAAAATTAAATCATACAAAATATTCTTCCACTTTCTTGCTTCTTCAGGGGATACTATGCATGTACTCCAAGAAGGATAAGAGTCATAAACCATCAGAAAAATCTGTTTAATTTATACTCTGTAATCTTCCAAAGTTAAAACATGTAGAGCAGAAAAATCAGAACTGATTATCGTATGAGGCATATCTAAGGAATGACTCTGAAGAAATGAATGGTGACACTGATGTAAAGGGAACACAAAAGCAGGGTGGAACAAACAGAAGTAATAAAAGTTCTGCAAGATTTTTTTTTTTTTCCACATGGAGGGCCAAGGAATACTATATCTCTAGTTTACTAGCTAAATGTGAAGCTGGTCAGGGATGGAGAAACAGAATTAGAAACCCTCCTACAAATACTGGCAATTTTTGAAGTCACAGGATTAGAATGTTTGATGCAAAAGGGGGCCTAGGTCATTCATAGAAATAAATTATGTCAAAATGAGAGAATGTGGAAAAGTAACAGGAGAATAATTTAAAAACATACAAACACAATCAATATCAGAGAAGTATGTGGTTTCTAGAAAAATGGGAGAAAACACAGCAGAAGAAAAATGAAAGTAAAGACTGGGTTTGACTAGAAAGTCTGAATAAATTTAAATGGGCGATCTGGGTTTAAAGTAAGAATGGCCCAGTTAACAATGGATTAAAAAAAGAATAAGTGGTAGAAAGAAAGAAAGAAAGAATGAATGAAAGAAAAGAGAAAAGAAAAGAAATATTCTACTCACTTAAAATGTCTACTCAAGAAAACTTGGAGTAAATGATCTGATAGCTAAGGGGCGACCTGAGTGTGTTTAAAGGTCAGAATTAAACAATTAAAGTTTATATTTTATACTTGAAAGAACAGGCTGTTTCAAACCTGCTAGGCACTTGGGGATGGGGGAAGGGAAACCTGATTTCTGTCACTAGGGAACAGAAAAAAATCAACCTCTACCCATTTACATTTTTTGGCATCATACTCAGCTCTATGCTTAGTGGTATGTATTTAAAAATTCCTTAGAACCTGGAAAGTTAAAAGGCAAAAAGACCAAATGGAAAATGGTACTGGAAATATAAAACAGCAAAATGAACATATCAATAATTTATACGTGAACACAATTTTAAATAAAACTAAAACCAAAAGCATATAACTTTAGAAATGGAATCGCTAGAAGGCATCATCATATCCATGTGATGTGCAAAATGATTAGATTTTTAAAACCATAATATAGGTTTTATTTTTATATAGCCATGGCTATTTAATGGCAGAATTTCTTGAATAATTTCTATCAAAGAAATAATTTCCATATCTACAACATTCATAAAATTGGCAACTGGGTACCTATTAGTTGTGAAAAGTGTCTGCAACATTTTTTTAGTATGGAAAGCAACATAAAAAAAGTGAAGCATCAAAATAGTTTATTTCAAATCTGTTTTATGCCAGATCTAACATATAATTGGTATCTATTCACACTGTATAGGTTTCTGAATTTCATTTCCTATTTTCTTTATTTTTATGATCAACTTGCTTAAATTTTGAACCTGTACCACTTCATTTGATGTTTATTAAACCTGATAAAAAGCCATGCATAGTTTATTTACAATATTGTACATTAAAGGACTATGTTTAAAGATCACAGGAAAATTTCACAAAACTATAACTAATAAGGGAAGACACATGAAACACTTCAGAAGTTTTTAATAATTTTAGGTGCAGAATTTTGCAAAGATTATTTTGGTTGGTAAGTATTAGACAATCACTAGTTTGAAATAAGACAAAATCATGCAAATGAGTAGAATTTCAACAAATTAAAAGCTAAAAATATTTAGCTAAAAGCCAAAATACTGTGTAGTTGAAATACTACCATGTAGTAATGGGAATTTATAAAATAGGAAAAAATGATTATTTTTAAAAGTTTTCCATGAATAATAGGCTTTCAGTAATTTTCTATAAAAACATTCAGAACATAAGTTTCTTAAATTATGTTTAACACCAAAGTCATGTTGTCAGTAAAGGTATGAATTGGAGCTATGACTTTTAAACAATTATTAAGTATAGTATAGAAGTCTCAGTTTTTCCCTTTGTGTCAGGGGAAAAGAAACCGAATCAGTAAATTCATATTCAAGTAACAGATCCTGGTACAAATATATCATTAACACAGAATGGAGAGATGCAATAATTTCAAGTCCACATACTTTTAACCAAACTCTTAAAATAGAAGTGTAAACTTTAGGTTTGTTCAACTTAAGATCTCCTATTAGGAAATACCTCCTTCTTGAGAGTTTGGAAAATATTTGAGTATACTGTCTTCTCTAGTTTCACTTCCTTCAGTTTTTACTGTTGTGGCTGAAGAACATTTAGATATTCAGATTGCCCGAGCTGGTAAGTGGTGTTCCTTCCACAGTCGACATATTGGTACCTCTCCTGGGATATCTGTTCAGAGTGGCCAAAGTATGTTGTTGTCACGGTAACTCTAAAAATAAAATAAACAGGGAGAAATGTTCAATAGTTATATGAAAAGGTTTTCTACAATAAGACCATTTTACACATAAATATCTTTTCCAGGGATTTATTATTTGATTAATGATAATGTTGTAAACATGGTCGTCTTAGAGAATATGTCCCCCATGGACACACAAAAAGAGCTATCTGAGAAAGCTGTATGCAAATAATTACATATAATGAATATTTTAAAAATAGTTATCTTTAAGTTTAATAATATATAGTTCCCTCATCATAAGAAACATGTTAATCAAATATCAATTAATAGCCAAAATAGCAAACTTATAGCCAACAATATTTATTGGCTTACACAACATCCATTTTCTAAAGTAATAACATTACTTCTCCTTGTTGCTGTTTGAGATCATTTATCAAGGTACCAAGGAATTGGATGTTGAGCTTCATTCTCCCTGTTCCAAACCCTGCCATTTTTCTGAGCTCCTTTTTTTGGGGGGGTGGGGAGAGAACTAGAGATTGAACTCAGGGGCACTTGACCAACCCAGCCCTATTTTGCATTTTATTTAGAGACAGGGTCTCACTGAGTGCTTAGTGCCTCGCTTTTGCTGAAGCTGGCTTTGAACTTGCAATCCTCCTGCCTCAGCCTCCTAAGCCACTGGGATTACAGGCATGTGCCACCGCACCCAGCTGAGCTCTTATAATACAGATTCACTATTCGGTAGCCATGTGATCCTTCATTATTTCTCAGAACAACCATATCCTAATTTGTTAAGTGTGCTAATATTTAATTATATATCATTTTTATAAAGACTTAAAACTCTATTGAGATGGCATTTGTAAAGATGTTGTTTATAATATAAGCTAATGGTATAAATCTAAAATTTTTATAAAAAATCTTTTTCAAGAAAATACTTATACTTACTGCATCATGAGTACAATGTTATGCACTTTGATGGATATAAGTGTGCAGAAATCACTGTTAAAGAAATTAAAAAGCGAATACAACATATATTAGTACATCACAAATTTAAAATTTTTCTGTGTTAAAGCTAACAGAGATATTATTAAGAATACTATTTAAGAAGTATATTTTGATTGAATATTTTCTATGTTCTAAATAATGACTGGTATATTCATGACTTTTTATTCTAAATATATTTATGCATTCATCACTGAATTTATACAGTTGTTTTAATGTGTGCTACAATTACTTTTACATTTTGCTTACCTTTTAACATTTTAGTAGCCAGTTTGCTAGTTACCCAGAAATTATATATCAAAAGATGATGAAATTTATAATTAATTATTTTTATTTAAGAAAACTTATTAATCATTTATACCCAATTTAAAAGTTTTAAAACTTCAAATCAATATTTTTAATCTTACTATACTAACACATTAATATGACACTATGTTTTATATAACATAATGACTAAAAGTATAAAGTGACATATATGATCCCCTAATATGATGCTAAAAAATAAATAAAAATAAATTTCATGTATATAGGTATATATACATAAATTTTATTTATGTTCAGACAGGAAGATGAAAAAAATGATATGAGAGGCCAGAAGAAATATTGCAAAATGTCATATTAACAGATAAGGGTATAGAAATTTTAAAAGAAAAAGTATATACAGATTTAATAATAAATTATAAAAATCAAAACTTACTACATATAACTCATTTCTTCTGCTATAATAGTAGGTACTGTATAATCAATCTGAAAGGCAAAATAAATAAAAGGGTAAAGAATCAACAGAGAATTGGATCCAAACATAAAAACTTCAAATATATGTCAAAAGTTCAATGAATTAGAAATCTTCCTTCTGAAGAACTTGATTCTAAGATTTTTATCTTATACATGTAACTCATTACGAAATCAAGTTTTTGAATAAATCTGTAGCCCCCCTTCCCACATAATATGATAGACAAGGCTGAGACTGGTGTAACTCATTCCAAGTATTTCAAAAGTGAGGCTTACTTGTTTCATATCAAGTGGACCAATATTGGTTATGTTGTTTAAGCGTGCCTTTCCGATAACTGTTTTTGAAAACTGTACTTGAGCAGTGATGTTTTCAACTTCAACAGAATAATAGTTATTATTCGTTATATTTAATGTGTTCTGCAAAAGAAAGGAGGCAGAAATTGTACATTTACTTGAAAAAACAAATATGCATTCAAAATTAACAAGGTAAATAACTTCAGCTGTGGCTATGCTTCATTTATCGAAAGGGAGAATAGTATCACCAAAAAATGTCAAAGAACATTAAATGAACTGATTATTTGGCTTTATGCATGAGTATTTATGCCTATAATAAAAAATTTTAAAAATAGCCTCAGAAAATATGTAGTGGAATGTGGAACAATGAATTGCAAGAAAATGTATTTGTGGTCTTAGCAAAAATCAACAAAAATAATTTAAAAATTTCATCCACATTTTTACTAACTTTCATACATGTTTCCACCAACTATATTAGTATTTCTGATTCTATTAAATATAAGATGGGCACTTAGAATGTTAACAGTATTGAAATAAACTTTTTTGTTTAAAGGAAATTGGTATGTTAACTTCACATGCTAATGGGCATTTATACCAGCTCACCATGAAGACGTAGGTTAGATTCAAGCATGGTTGTACACAAATGTGGTTGCATTATTCCTGTACTTATATGACAGATGAGGTTAGTTTCCTCATTTCTAATTCACAACGATAAACTCAAATTACTTTAGAAATTAGCCAATGAAAATAAGAAAAATATTAAGCTAAGAAATAACAGATAATAAGTAAGACATTCAAACCAGGAATAGGAAAAGATCCCATAAACAAAATCAACAGACATGAAATAATAAATATAGAAGAAAGATTTATAAGGCAAATAGCAATAGTTATCATCTATTATATACAAGAAGCCCTTAAAATTTGGATGGAAAAAAAAGACAAAGGTCAAATTGAAAATAAAAATCAAAAATGTCATACAAGGAGATGCATAAACATATCAAAAAGGACAAATCTAAAATTTTCAAATTCATTTATAGTTAGGAAAAAGTTGATTTAAGTAAAAACAGAATATTACTTTATATTCATCAGGCTAGTAAAATTTGTAGAAAGTGATGAAGTCTATTCCTATTAGGGATATGGTCAAAGATTTCTTTTTACATTACTGGTAAATATTAAATGTGAAGTGTTACAGCCTTTTTGATAAATAATCCAGCAATAAACAAAATTTATGTAAATCTTATGTAGCCATCACAATGAATGGATTAAATCTAAATCAGATCAGAAGTTATTTCCACAATGTATTAACAAGTGAGAAAACCAAGGTGTATAAAAATGTGGGAAAATATTATGTTTTAAAACAATTTTAATCTAAACATGTAAATCTGTATGTATATTAATATCAATATGGAGAAAGAAATGAAAGCTATAATAGAGGATAAGTGGATAGAAATCAGTCTTAGTAAAAAAAGAGTTAAAAAAAAGAATGTACTAGAGATTAGCAACCAATTATCATATTTATATTTTCATTAAATTATTATATTTATAATCATAATGGAAATTTTTTAAGATTCCATAACATGGCAGATATAGGTTTTGTTATTTATTAAGTTGTTAGTATTCATGTCAATTTCACTTCTAGACAATAGGAAAGGGGTGGTTAATTTGAGGTCAATGGATCTCCTGAAGCAGACTAAGAAATGGGATTGAAGAGAATATTAGAACCCTCTCTATATGCAAAATAATGTTGGTTTATGTGTTTTTTTGTTACAAGTGTCCATAATTGTCATTAGAATACCAAAGAGAAAAATGATGCAAAACAAGTTGAAAACAAAAATACTAGGAGACTTAGAAAAAGATATATGGAGTGTTAGAAAACACAACGATAAACGGTGAAAAAACAACAACAACAACAACAAACTAATAGGATGAACGAAAATTTGGCACTACAGGGAAGATTTTTTTCAATCTTTTTTTCTTTCTTTTTTTTTTGCAGTCTCTGGTGATAGAACTCTGGGGTACTCTGCTTCTGAGCTACACCCCCAACTCTTTATTTTCAGACAGAGTCTTGATATGTTGCTGAGGCTGTCTATGAACTTGAGATCCTTCTGCCTCAGCCTCCCAAGTTGTTGGAATTGCAGACCTATGCAACAGTGCTTGGCTACAGAGCAGTTTTTTTGTACTGAAAGCAGTAAGGATTGATTTAATTTCTAAGTCAAATGGGTAAACAATCATCAGCTTTAAAATAAAAATAACTTAATCAGAGGTGTTAAACTATCTATGATCTTGAATTGACAAATTTACTTTCAGTATTTTATTCTAAAGAAACAACCTGAAATAGAAACAAAGTTTAAGCACAAAGATGTTTTCTGAATAAATATTTGTAATAATAAAATTCACAGAAAGGACTACATGTGACAATTTAATATGGAAAAATGTGGTGTGTTCTCAGTTAAAATGTGCATGTGTATGCATGTGTGTATGTGTCCTTTATATATAAATATATAAGAGAATGACAACAACTGTTAATATAATGAATATGTAATATGTGAATGTATATATGCACTGTCAGAAAATATACAAATATGTTATAGTTAACTATGTTACAGTAGGAGTAAACATCTTTATATGTCATAGGAATTTTCAATGTCTAATAATAACAATTACATAGTTTCATAAGCATAAAGACAGAAAGTGTGACTATGATATTGTGACATATATTTTTTGGTTTTTACCCACTCTTCCTGGCATAGCCCTTGTTATTTCCTAAATGCTAGAACAACATGGTTAAAGTATCTGTCCTTTTATCCTTGTTCCTGAAGCAGCTGTGAAAAAGCTTCACAGCAATAAAGGTGAAAGAGTCTTTTGTTACAATGCCAGGACGCATCAGGTCTCAGAAGGCACAATCTCTTTCTTGACCTTCCCTTGCCCACCTTTCACGGGCTCCTTCTTTTCCCCATAGCAGAATGTAGAAAGTGGAATTTTCTTTCCTAATGTTAGTCACAGAAACTAAAATCATTCTCTAATCTTCCCCTGCCTCTATTTCTTGGAGATGGCCATTAGGAAATTCTCTGATTCACCTTGTCTGAGAGATCATAAGACCCTAACTTCAGAAGGGGTCTGCACCATCCCTGGAATAAAGGGGTGCTGCTCAGAGAGGCCAAGCAGAATTTGTACACACAGGTCTTGTTGGGTTTCCTCATTCAGTTCATATCCATTTTGTCCAATCAAAACTGTCCATCTTCAATCATGCGTATGTAATGAACCCTCCACAGGAGACCAAAAGAATAGGGCTCAAGGCATTACTGATATAAGAACACATGGAAGCTTACAGGAAGGTGAAATGAACTCATCCTGTACAAAGGGTGGTGCACTCCTACTCCCCAGAGTCAGAGTCCTGCTCACTGGAACCTCCAAGACTCCTATATATCTCTATCTGGCTGGTTAGTTACATGCTTTAAAATATCCTCTATTGTCAACCAGTGATTATACGTATATTGTTTCCCCAAGTTCTATGAGCTGCTCTAGCTATTAAATCTGACCCAAGCAGAGGGTTGTGGGAACCCCAAATTAACAGCAATTGACATATGAAGTGGGGAGCAGCCTGGTGGGACTAAACCTTCAACTAGTGAGATCTGATGCTACCTCCAGGTGGAGTCTGTATCCTCCAGTATCCTCTGCAGCACTGTTATAGTTTGTATGTGAGGTATCCTCATAAAACTCATATGTGAGATAGTGTGAGAGGGTTCAGAGGGGAAATGATTAGGTTTTGAGAGCCTCAAGATTGAGGCAAATTAATCAGCAAATTAATCCCTGACAGTACTGACCAAGTGGTAACTGGAGGCATGTGGGGTGTGGCTGGAGGAGGTGGGCACCGGGGGTGACTTTGGGTATATATTTCTGTCTGGTGAGTAGAGTCTTTTTCTCTGCTTCCTATTCATCATGTAAGCTACTTCTCTCTGCCACACTCTTCATCCATGATGTCCTGCCTCACCTTACACACCAAGGAATGGAGCCAGCCTCTCATGGACTGATACCTCTGAAACCATAAGCCCCTAAATAAACCTTTCCTTATCTACATTTGTTCTGCCCAGGTTTTTCAGTCACAGCAGTAAAAAAGTTGATTAAAACAAGCACTGACTGCCTACTTGGTGATGGGGAGAAGCCCCAAATATCATGGGATCATAGAAGTAATCTATATTGTTTATGTATAGTAAGAGAAACTGCTTTTTTTCTATATCCTCATTAACTAAAGGAAGAAAAAAGTAGTATATATATATCATTACTTACATTTCTATTTATTTTTTTAAAAGGCAATATAATTCTGCTTTTCAAAATATTGTATGGAACCTATTGGCCTCTTATCTTAGTGCCTGCTAGTGAAGCCTAATTTCACCTAAATAGTGCTCTTCTTATTAAATGTTCAATTTTTCTTAATTGAATTATGAGGCAGTATCCCTAAATGTGTGAATTCCTACATGATTATTTAAACTAAAATATCATGTTCTTATTCAAATACATTGAATTTTTTTAAAGTCACTTTTTTAAATTTATTATTATTTATTTGCAGTATTTAATACCAGAGCAGACTTTTCAAACAGGCCAAAAAAATCTGGGTACTTTTTTAAACAGTGTACAAAAAGAAAAATATCTTCCTTGTACAAAAGGGCTATTAAAGTGAGAAAATGATAAACAATAATTTCCCACCCATATATAATGCTTTATAATTTAATTAGCCTTGTTATGTTTTATTCACATACATATTTTTCCCAAAGATATAGTTTGTTTTTAAGCCCTCAGATTATCAACTTTTGATATTAAGCAATGAGGATAAATGGATCCATGGAAGTTCTTTTTTTTTTTCCTGTAATTAGGGAGCAATACCATTTTAACACGCTATTCCCCTTTACTCTCTATCCCTCCAAAACTTTCTCCTCCCAAGTACCACAACAGTCATCTGCCACAACATTAACTACTTGTTTCTACAAGGAAAATCAACCAATTCCACTGTTACAACCAAGCAGATTACTGCCACACTGCCACACCTTGGGCCTGAAGCTATAAATGACTATGAAAGACATGACTAATATATACATTCCCTTCTAATGACAGGGATAGTAATCTATGCTCTTTTTATTTTAGTTATTTATTTTAAGATAATTATTTTACACTGAAGCATTATAGTTATACATAATAATGAGATCAAGTTATATGCATGTACAAATATGGCATAAGGAATCCTGGCTCCTTTTAAACAAATATTAATGTGTAAAAAACAGATAACCCAATCTGATTTCTTTATTTTGGGAATGGGAGGCTAAAAGTTTCTTTTGAAAGTACTGTACTGGGAAACACAGAGGACATTTTCACATATACCAACATATGACAGAGAAATCAAAGAGCTATATGCATCTGTACTTTAAACACAATAAAGATATGATCTACTAAAATAATGAGAATCATATTTCCCAAAATGCAAGGGAGTGGAAATGGTACATTTATTACATCTACTGAATCAACTATGTTAATACCTTGCTTGGATGTATTTGGAATCAAATGTTGAAAAGTAAATTATTTGTAAGACTTTTTTTTTCTTTGTCATAAATTGTTCAGTTTATTGTACCCTCTGAAAGAAATCTCCAAATGTCAAATAATTCTGTATACACAGAATTGCCAGTATTGGGCATTTTCAGCAGAATCAGACATGATAGAGAAGGGTCAATATAGCACAGACAAACAAAAAGTAAATCAGCCTGTGTCACATTTAACAAATATTATCTCAATACTAAAGGTGCTGCTTAACAAGATAAAAAATGAAGTAAAATATTTTTAATACAAATTTGTACTTACTGTGATATTTAAATATATAGTTCGCTTTTGAACATCATAACTGACATATGCTGATTTTACGCCAATGTATTTCACGTCGATAGAGCGAGGGAAAAGGAAAAACACAGCCAATCCAGAAAGGAGCAGACAGACAAACACAGATGCCATCACATACAGCTTTCTGAAAAGCAAAGGGGAATATTTAAATGTATGAGAATCAAAAATTATATAACATAATGTTTGGAGAGAGATTTTCAACTTGAATTTTTCTTCCATATATCACACTGGGAAAGAAAACATGTATACTTTTACCATATTCTCATACCCTAAAACTATTGGGGTGAGTTGCTCTGAGTCTAAAATGTTCTCCTTAGAAGATGAATTCACCCTTTTGGAGAATGGTATTTCAGGCTTACAATAGTCCATTTACTAAACTGATTCCCGAACATGCTTCATATTAGAATCAAGCTTAGGAGCTTTACAGAAATAGAGATTTCAAGATTTCCTTCTCACTACACTGAAGCAGAGTTTTCACATAGGAGTTTCACAATCTTAAGATCCCCTAAAGTCACAGCTCATCAGATAGGCCTATGAAGTTCTTAAAAATAAATATATAACGATTTGTCCCATTAATCTCACTGAATATGATCAGTCTTCTGAGTTTCCTCAAGCCAAAATATTTATAAACTCAGTTTAAAAAATATTGCTTACACTAGTCTAATTGGCTTTGAAGATGTTGTTACACTGTTTTTTGAAATGAATTAAAAAGATAATATTAAGCAGTATAAGACAAGGGCAAGGGAAAAAATAGCCCCCACCCCCCGCAAAAAAAAAAAAAAGGCTAAAACACCTGCCTTTGCTATCCTCCTAATGCCCTAGAAATGTCTCTTCTTATTTTCTTTCCAATCTCCACACAAGAAAATTTCCTTTTTTTCTTCAAGGTTATCCTCTTAACTAGAGATCCAAATTTCCTGATTTCTTCAATATAGAGTCCTCTGCTGAAAGTCCCTTGTTATTCATCTTAAGTCTTACATGTCACTTATTTCATCTTCTTTATATTCTAGTCATAACAAAAAAATTCATTTTATCTTTTCTTCCACTTTCTCCTCCCCCAAAACGTTCTATGCCTTGATGAAGTTAATATTTGTGTACCTCAAAAGAGCCTCCTGAGGATGTATTCTTTTTTTTTTTTTCAGTATTTTAAGTTGCTTACAGTAAAAACAAAAAAGTGCAAAATGGTTTATTAAAAAAACTAAAACAAGTAAATAAAAATTTGCCACTTACTGTTAAATCCATGCTAATATACTGAGCAAACAAACCAATTATCACTCATTTGTTTTGGACTTTCTCAGTCTGAGTAGGGCAGTGATCACTATTGGATTACTAATAAGTACTTTGAATACATGTTTATAGTACCTACAATATACCCAAATACCTAAAAGAAATATAAAAAGAGTTTAAAATCAACATGATAAAAAAAATCTGAACTTCAATGGATTTTCTATACAATACTGTTTTATTTTTAATTACTTGTGGGCAGATGAGTCCACCAGAATCAATTTAGCGCTTAGGGCCTATAAGTAAGCCTTAGTTGTGAATATATGAACCAGTGTTCTAAATTACTTTGCATATTCAGTTTAAACCATAGCAAATATTGAACCTGATGGGACAATAAAATAACATTCCATGCGATATTTCATTCCAAATTGAAAATGTGGCTATTTCATGACAATGTATATAGATCTTTATTATAAAATTAATTAGTCCTGTTTTTCCTTATGATCCTAGAGAAAGCAAGAAAATCCTGGTACTTACATAGTGTTAATGAAGTTGTGTGGTATATGTGGCATCAAGTTAGAATTTAATTACCTCCATTCCCTACCTGCACTATTTAAAGTAATTAACTCTTTTACTTTAAAATCTATAGGTTTTGAGGATTAAATAATATAGCTAAAGTATATAGCCAGAATAATAAATAAATAATTTCATAACTACTTCAAATATAACTTCAACTCATATGCAAATAAAGACCCAAAGTTGTTTCTAAAATAATATTATTTTAATACAAGTTGAGAAACAACTTTCTGGCCTTTCTGGTGTGAGCTCTGCAGATTATTTTCTCTGCTTCTACAGAGTGGTCTTCCCCAGGTTCAGGGACTTTGTGACACACTACACTGATGAAAACTGAGCAGCAAGTTAAGAGCAGTCTCTGCAGCTCTCCACCCTCTGCTGCTCTGCCCTGCTTGCTCCAATGATCTTGCTTCCAGGACTCACATAGCACCAGCTTCTTGCACCAGGAAGACTGCTACACTCTGCCTGGGTTCCTTTTCTTGTGCTGTAGTCTGGAACCTCTTTCCAGACAATTAGTACAATTATAGGGCTTATCACATTTGTTTTCTTTTTTCAAGGAATGACTGTCCTGTGCTGTCTGATGTCAACTGTGAAAGTATTATCTCATGTATTTATCCAGTTTCTTAGTTATAGGAGGATAAATTCTTAGTTAGGAGGATAAATCTAGTCTGTTATTCCATCTTCTTCAGAAGTGGAAAGCCAATTTATTTGATTGTATCTTTTTGCTTTTATGCTGAAAATCTTGTTCCTTAATGGCATTTACATACTTACTTATTTGCCTTATGTATAATAATTTCAAAATTATATCAATAGTACTCCTAACAATGCAACTATTGAATACATTTTAACATTTGTTGTGGTTCCCTTAGATATTTATAATGTATCATTAAAAAGTAACATTCAAAATACAATAATTTCACTGTGCCCTGCCCGGCCACCTATAAACCCAGTGGCTCAGAAGGCTGAGGCAGGAGGATCACCAGTTCAAAGACAGCCTCAGCAATGGTGAGGCGCTAAGCAACTCAGTGGGACCCTGTCTCTAAATAAAATACAAAATAGGGCTGGGGATGTGGCCCAGTGGTTCAGTGCCCCTGAATTCAATCCTGGGTACTCCCTCCCCGCAAGAAATACAATGATTTCAAGTTATGTGTTTTAACTTTAATGTACAATATATAGATACACACATATACTATATATATGCAAATAATAGATAACTATAAATATGTATGCATACATGTAATATACATATGTACATAATTCCAAAGGTCAAACAACACACACACACACACACACACACACACACACACACACAGATTTTACTTGCTTACCTGCTCATTCTTCAAAGTGAACAGGTAAACCAATTTTATCATTTTTCATTTATCAATGTATATGTTTTTTTTTTTTTCCCAAGAAAACAGTTTATTAAAGACAATGTTCAGCTGGGTTGTAGCTCCTGCCTGCAATGCCAACTACTTGGCCCAGGTCAGAGGATGTCCAGTGCAGGGAGCCACCTTCCCAAGCAGATCTCAGCAATGGCTAAGCCTCTGGCAGTTCCCCACACACCCAGTCTCCCCTGGGGGCCCTTTGGAAAGGGGGAATCAAAGGCACAGGGAACCCAGACAACACTGAAAAGTCTGTAAATCTCTGAATTCCCTCTGTAGCTGAGGGTTAGGTTTGGACATTTCCCCAGTTGGAACGTGACTGGCCACTAGAAATTAGGCATATTGAAAACAGGCTAGAGTTAGGGATACCCAGTAATAATGCCTCTAGGGGAAACCACATTCCCATCTCACCCCTGCATGTCCTCTTTAGTGGGCTTCCTAGTAGCTTAATAGGGTCCATGAGACCAGGGTTCTCTACCCCCACTGGCAACTCAATATGCTAGTCTTATCTTCATGTGAACAATTAGCTGAGGCCGGGGTGGGCAGTGCTTAAGCCTGTAATCCCCAGAGGACTGCAGCAATAGTAGGCGAGCCTGGACAATTTAGCCAGACTGTCTCCAAGGGCTGGGATGTGGCTCAGTGATTAAGACCACTGGGTTCAATTGCAGGAACCAAAGAAGGAAGAATTAGCTTACTCTGGGGGCATGAAGTCTTATTGAGGGCTGGACATTGGTGCAGAAGTCGCAGACATCCAGAAGTGTGGCTGTGCAATTCAAAAGGCACACTGGCTCCCTGAGGCCTCCTCAGACAGCAAATGTATATGTGTTTTCAAATAAAAATTTGTTCTGGATTTTACACAGTTCTCCCTTTTTTCCATTCTAATACTGTGTAAATGTAATAATTTACTAGTTCTCTATTATTGGCTACTTTTGTTGTTTCTATTACACATTGGCATATTGAATAATTTGTGCAAATGCCATATACTATATTTGACAACTATCCTTAGAATAAATTTTTCCAGGACCCAAGAGTAAATGCATAAGTAATTTTGCTAGATAATGCCAAATTCCCATTCACTAGAAGGGATGAGTATATGTGTTTTCCCTTAGTGTTGCCAACAAAATATGTTGACAAAATTTTGTACTTTTGCCAATCTGATAGAAATAGTTTCTCAGTGTAGTTTTAATTTGCATTTCTTTTATGAATAAGATTGAACATTTTTTTTAATTTAAAGGTCATCTGCATTTCTTTTTTTGTGAAATAGCTGTTCATAGCTTCTGTTCTTTTTTCTTTTGGTAATTGGCCCTTTTCTTCTCAAATTTTAAAACTCTGTGGAGGAAGGGTATTGGCCCTGTGTCTAATATGATTTGCAGACATTACTTCCTAGTTTGCCATTTGTGTTTTAACTTTAATTAACATTTTGTTTTCAACCTGTAAAAGTTTATCTACACTGTTTAAAATTTATTTATCTTCCTTTCATCACTTCTGGATTCTAAATCATAGTTGGAAAAATATTCCCACTCTCAGGTTATAAATGCTTTAACCCAAATTGTTTACATCCTCATATGTCACATACATTTTATAATAAAGGGTTAGATTGACTGTTGGTAAAATTCTTCGTTCATTTTATTTCCATAATTACTAAATGTGCTATGCTTCAGCTTATTTATTCAAAACACTGTCATCAAGAAGTAATGTGTCAATTTGGTTGTACCCTTAATGAATTAATTGATCATTTTGCCTGAATGTTAAAAGAGATTTTTGCCCTTTTTTTAATCTTTAAAGTCTAAAAACTTTATTAGTCTGAGTTATTTTTAGGATGGTGGCATGTCTTTTTAATATGTAGGGTCATGTCTTCTTTTGCTTTGGAATGTTTTCCTGAATTAAACCTTTAGTTATTTGTTCAGTTGTATTTCTTTGATTTTCTTCTTTGTAGGAGCTCTAATGACATGCATGTTCAATATTCTTTATATTCTATGTAATTTTTTTCTCAAATCTTTCTCATTAATTTGTCTATATGCTTTCATTTACTCCTGTTTACTCTCAATTTCCCTTACTTCACTATTTAGAATATCTTTTTGCACTTGTGTTCTTCTAGTTTTTTTGGGGAAAAACATATTTTTCTAATTATTTTAAAGGGTCTATATGGTTCACATTCTCCTACTGTTTAGTTATCACATTTGTGAGCTTTTTAATTTCTGACTTAGACAGTTCTGTCATTTAGCTTCTATATTTTCCTTAATTTTTATAGTACATTTTATATTAAGTTCTCATCTTTTTCACAAGCTTTTATTACCTGTTAGAAATTTTTGGGGTTCCATCCCTGTTGTTCAAATTTAAATAAGAAATTTTTTTTGCAGTTGTAAAAGAATGTTTCATGTAGGGAGATGGAGATGGGACAGGGTTCTAGGTTCACTGCTCAAGGGCTCATCTCCATTAAACAGATGGCTTCCATGCATATTCACCTCATAGATCTGAGATTCACTCCCTAGTATTTGAAACCTTTCTCTTATTTTTAGTTCCTGCCCAGCATGAGTGGATCCCAACCCCAACATGTGTGTGTGTGTGTGTGTGTGTGTATGTATGTATGTATGTTTTTTTCCTCCCTTCTCCTTAGAATGTATGTCTTTCCTTTCATAAATGTTTCTGTTGAGGTCGTCTAAGGTTTTGGAGGACTGAGGATGGTCTAGTACCTTATGATTTTCTCAAGCCCTCTATGGCATTTTTGAACTCTCTCCAAATTAGAGCATGTACAGTGTTCCCATTTTAACAAGTTATTTTTGAAAGTATTCTGAGTCGGGTTCTTTTCTTTGGGACAAGTATCAAGTATTTACTCTGTACATCAGGATTCTTAGAAACTCCCTTTCATTTCCTTTTACAACTGCCACATAGCTACTAAGCATGTTTGGTTCCTTGTCATCACCATAGTCTGAATACCCATTTTTATTTGTAGTTGATAGGAACACCTTATTACCCATTTTTGGATAAAAAGGATGTGTATGTGTTTCCTACTATTATTCTAAATCTGATTTAATAAGAGACTTGAGACTATGAAGATACCACGCTGCTTTTCAGACCTTGCCCAGACAGGAATCCTTTTGTATTCAATGACATGAAGCATATGATGGAATAACTTTACAAGTGATAACATCTTTCCTCTTAGTAGTCTTAGAGTAATTACTTATACATAATTTGAAAATAAAAAGATAAAAAAAACAAAAACAAAAACAGAAAGCATTGACATTTTCTCATAAGCACTTACGTTCTTCTTGGTCTTAATCTCTGATCACTATATGGAATCAATGCCACCAACTGGTTTTCTTGCCCTTAAAGTAAAAGCAGATTTAGAGATTTATTAACATGATTAAATAAAAATAGTGATACTCCATTATAATCTGATTTGGAAAGACCAGAATACCATTTGGCTCTCATCTCATTTCTTAGTCAACAGCTCTCCAAATTTTCAAAAAAGTATACAGCGAAAGTGTACCATGCTTTTTCACGTTAGATGTTTAGCTAATAAAAATATATAATAATGAAGGCTCTGTTACTGTTTTATCCACTGAAAAAAATCTAAAAAGTCCTAGCTTTCAAATGATCAGAATTTACCAGGCCTTCCCTCAACTCCACTGTTTCCCATTAAGACTCTGATTTGGTGACATAGTATAGTGATAAAGCCACATCAGTGTTTATGGTAGTGTAATTCACAATAGCCAAGTTATGAAACTAGCCTAGGTGCCCTCCAATAGATGAATGGATTAAGAAAATGTGATTTTATATATATACATACATATATATGTACATACATATATAGTAGAGATTTTCTTAGCCATAAAGAAGAATGAAATTATGGCATTTATCAATGGATGGAAATGGAGAACATCAAACTAAGTGAAATAAGCCAGATTCAGAAGTCAAGGGTTGAATGTTGTCTCTCTCACATGCAGAAACTAGAACAAAGTAAGGGGGAAAAAGAGGAGAGATCAGATACCATATGTATAGAAGGAAGACCAGTGGAAGACAGAAACTGCGGGGAAAGGAGGAGGGTTGAGAAAAAGGAGAAGTAGAATGAATTTGACAAAATTATACTATGTGCATGTATAAATATGCCACAGCAAATGCCACCTTTATGTGTATTTATAAAGCAACAATTAAACATAAATACATAACTAAATAGAAGCAAGACCAGTAGAGTACAGGAAGAGTAAAGGGAAGAGGAGGCAACAGGGACTAAAATGGAACAAATTAAATTTCATACATGTATATTTATGTCAAAATGAACCCAACGATTGAAAAATCATATATTAGGGAAATACAGTCACAGGCTTGAGAATAAAAAGAAAAGAAATGAGAGAAATATAGTATGATTCTTAGTATCATTAAGGACCACTTGAGATTAGTAATGAGACCAGTGACCTCTTAAAGCTTGAGACTTAGAATATATCCATTTTTATTTTCAAGTGGAATAGTACAAGAACCTCTAAAGCAAAAGAGGTTTCAGGAAAGAGAGATAGCAACATGTTTTTCTGCTGTCATTCAGATAACCAAATCAGAGTCTTTGTGTGTGGTATGTGTGTGTGTATGTGTGTGTGTGTGTGTGTGTGTGTATGTATACTTTTATTAATTAATACTGTATTTCCCTAATTCACACCCTCAATACAACTTTTTAAAAGCACAATTTCATAATTTCAACTTTAGTCAAATTTTTAATATTTTCTCTCTCATTGTTATTCTTGATTCATGATATGTAATAGAACAGAACTTTCACAAGCCTCTATTACCATATTGATAAGAATTCTGAGATGCCCTAAATTAAGTCACAGGCCAGAGAATGAAGAGAAAAGAAATAATTCACAGAATCAAGCTAAATCAACAACAAAAACCTTTCTACATTCCTTTCCTTATGGTGAAGATTATCTATCAAGGCTACATTTCATTCTGCTTTAGGAACTATCCAACCATAAAGTAGTAAAAATTTCTCTTTTTAGATTATCATCCTATCCCAGGATTTTGCCTGCTTTATGTTGTCCTATCCTCAAATCTACAGCTAATATAGATTCAACATAAATAATTTTATGTCTCTTCTCCCAAAATTTTATTATAAAATACCTTGGCCCTAAGGTCCAGTATACTTTATTTTTTTTTTATTTATTTTTTTATTGGTTGTTCAAAACATTACAAAGCTCTTGACTCCACACTGATGAAGGCTCGTTCTTGCACTTGAATTCTAGATCCTTGTAAAAACTGCTTATTAAAAGTACTTACTTTGATGTCAAATAGGCATCTGCAAGCACATATGTCCAAAACTGATCTCCTAATCCGTGTTCTGACAATTATACACAACTCTTCTTTTCTCTGCTATAATAAACTGCTACTCCATTCTCTCTGTTGCTCAGATGAAAAAATTTAGAGCCAAGCTTGATGACTTTCCAAACTACAGCCGAGCTGCCAAAATTGGTCACATCTCAGAAACATAACTAGATTGCTCAAACAGCATCCCCCCCATCTCTTGTGCATTAATTTCTTCACATACAAATTTTTTTATTCTCAACTAGCTATTATTCCCACAAAGATAAAACCATTGTATTCACTGGCCAATGCAAATGTAAACTATTTCACCTCTAACTCAAGACATTTCTCAGACACTTTGGTATAACTTCTACTGTTAATCTATCTTTCTTTCAGTGTCTCTCCAGGGTCACAAGTCTACTTACCACAGAGAACAAAAACAGCCCAAGGTGACTTTATTATTTTTACTTATTCCACAGCAACTAAAATAGTCTACAATGAGCACATTTCCCTCTGACTTTGCCTATGGTACACCACAAACTGAATTTTTTCCCCTACTTCGCTCAACTTCATATACCTTGAAATTCCCTTTAGGAAATAGCTAACTAGGACATGGGCAACGTACTACTATTCTTTAGTAGTAAGTAATGAAATTACAAATGTTGGATCACCAAATTACTTAAATTGTTTCCAATAAGCCGATGTTGCAAGGCAATTACAATATGACCTCTAAAGATGGCAAACAGCACTATAAACTTTTCAGTGAAATGACAATGCATATTGCTATAATAGAAAGCAGGAAAGAAAAACTACTGGACAAGTGAAACCATTTTCATGACTGTTTTAGGAACCTTCATATATTTTTTTTTTTTCGCTGTGTCCCTTTGACTGGATAACTGATAAGCAGTTTTAACTTTAATTTTGAAGCTTTTAAAATTGAGTTGCTTAGACCCAGAGGTTCTATAATATTCAAGCAAATGTCTAAAATCATTCTTTAAAGGAAAAATAATATAACAACACATACCCCTAGGAATTCTTCCTGTTCCTTGACAAGTGGGACAAGTGACACTATCTCTTCCTGTAAATTCCACATATGGAAACTGAGAGACATCTCCATTTCTTCCATCTTCATTATGGACTTCATTATTAACCAGTCCATTTCTCATGTTTTCAGTCGATGTGATTCCATCATAAGAATCTTCTTTACTTGTATGCAAAGGCAAATGAGAAAGAGACTTTCCCATGTCTAATGAAAAAGAAAAATCTTACAGTAAACCTCAGGGGGAAAAAAAGTACACTTAAACTCTATGAGACATTTATGCTAATCTAATTACTTCAGAAGAAACTTGAAGAGAAAGTTCAAACTACTTTTCATATTAGAATTAAACCCAATCAAAATAATGTCTGAAACAAGGAAAACATTTACTAGAGTCCAAAAGAGTTCTTCATGCTACTGGGGAAAGAACGCAGGACCTTGGGAAAGCTAGGTAAGCACTCTACTACTTAGCCATATTCCCCAGCCCTCAGAAATGTAGGAAAAAAGTCTACACCTTCTTAAATAAAGCAAAGACACATCCTACCTTTTCTTAGAATAAAGCAAAGACACATTCTACCTTCAAACCAGTTGGCACTAAACGCAAACGTGCTTTAGAGAAATGAAACTAGTTATTATAGGTATCACTAGGTAATTTCAAAGTAGTACTTTTTACTCATTTAAAATTCACACTACTGAGAAATCTTCGCTTCCATTGTTAGATTTCTTATTGAGAATACTCCAAAAAACTAAAAAATTCCAAATCATAGATATTCTTCTTTTGTTCAACACTTGGCAGTTAACATTATAAATTTAAAATTCTAAAATACTAAATATAATTTACCAATACAAAAAGCAAAATTGAGAACATTAACTTCAAAATTTTAGGATAACAGTATCAAAATAACATGGAAAAAATAAAATATGAATTCAAAAGCCAAATAAAAATAAATAATTATTAGGACCTCTCCAAAAAACGCCTGCAGTAACATTGCAGTTAAGCTTATACAATTTCAAGGCTAAAAAGAATTTTGAAAGTCACCTAATACAACCTGATGATATTTTGAGAAAAAAAAATAAAAGGGGAAAGCAAACTTGAAAAATAACACAATTCCACTCTGACTAAATTTGATCAAGTACAGATTATTATAGACATTCATACATATATTTCTTTTCAAAATTCTCATTTATTTGAATAAGGAAAACTGACACTATTTCAAATTACCCCACAGTATGAAAAAAATTTGCTTTCTAAAATTGGTATACCACATATTTGTTGAAGTTACTCATAATGCAAGGAGCAGAATGAAGAAATCATACAAGTTGAATACAAGCTTAAAATTGTAGAAAATGGAATAAAAATATTTTTTCATTATTAAAAAATATGTACACACTGTCCACATAAGTTCCAAAACATAAATGACTCATGCTTCCTTAAAAACAAAAAAAAAAAGTATTAATCTGGCTCACTGACATTAAGTGAGGGCCAAACCGCATTTGCCAGCCACAGGTGGTTCAGGGGTGAATGCTAATCATCACTGTCCACACCCACTGTGACCTTGGAGTCTTGGAACTACCAGAACTAGGATCAGTCTCAGAAACAAGCTTTCAGGTGCACCCTTTCTGGGGTGTCAACACACCACGGGTGGAAGGTGCACCCTATTGGAAAGCCTTAGGGGAAATGACTCAGAGGACAAGCCAAGTGGCTTTTGGTCCTGGCCTGTTTTCTATTCTAATGTAACCAACCACCTTGATTGATTCTGCTTTAGGCAGGTGTTTGGACAATCGCCCAGACTTTGCCAGGTATTAAGAATCCCTGCCTTGCCTACTACATTTTCTTCACAACATTGACAAATTTAACCACTTTATTCTTGGAGACCTATTGGTATTCATAAGGAATACTAGACCCCTTTCTCCCTTCCTCCTGCTCAATATTTCTATCGCAGTCTCTTGCTGAAAAAAAACCAACATGGTTCTCAGGTTCTGTTTCGAGAGAGGGGGGGAAGATGAATACAACACTCTAATTTAAATAGATCGTGATCTTTCTGTGCATAAACTGGTTATAGTTCCGAAAGGGCACGAAAACGAAGAAAATCAGCACCTTTCAAAAAGCTCCATATACAAAACCCAGGACATAGGCTACTCTGTAAAGGTTAAACGTAAGATCCAGGCAAGTGTGCAAGAAAAGAAAACCGTTTCAAGAACAGAAAAACCAAGGGCCACCTGGCCGTTCGAGGTGTGGGGGCCTGGACTCAAATCTCAAGCGCCAGGAGGGGACAAAGCCGGTAGCTCCCAGGCAGGAGGCTGAGTGCGGGTAAGAGGAGGTGACAACACCTTCATCACTAGCCCAGCGCGGCGCCGCGACATCCTGCGGGCCCTGATTCCCCGCAGCCTCCCCTCCTCCACCTCCTTGACAGGCCCGGCTCTTCGCGAGGCGCGCAGCTGGGCCCCGCAAAGGAAGGGGGTCTGGGCGCTGCGCGTCCGGGGTCGCTCACCGGCACGCGGGGCGCTGCGCAGTTCCGGGCTGCTCCGGGCCGGATAGGCCCGAGGACAGGGTCACGGAGTCCGCAGTCCCAGTTGCTGGGGGTTGGAGCGAACGGCCTAGAGCGTCCGGCAGCAGCCGAGATGGGCGGGGGAGGGGCGGGACAGCGAAGGCCTCAGCTGAGCCAGGAGCTGCGGCAACCTGCTCCTGCGCCTGCGCAGAGCGCGCCCGGAGAGGCGGGGGTGCTCCGGGAACGCGCTTGACAGTGGCGTCCTTTCCCAGGCGACCTGGAGCCCGGAAGCGCGCTGCCGTGAGTGTGGACTTGCAGACTTTGGTGCCGCTGGGAACCTAGACTTACTGAAGTTTGTCCGCTCTGTTTTTGTGTGACTTAAGAATAAGTCGCTCTTCGTTTACCCGCTCTCAGACCATTTCCTTTTGCAAGGGGGAAAAATATCCACCGTTTGACTCAGTTTTCAGCTGAGCAGACTCCTTTCCCAGGCTCTGGCAGTGGTCTCTAAGACTAGGAAAAACTGGTTAGAAGTTTTAACATACACCTCTGGCAGCTAAGAAGTTCCATGTATTGAAACTTCAAGCAAAAAACAGTTCCTTGGTTTTTGCTTGGTCTTGGTTTTGCTTAAGCTGCCTTCCCTTCCACCGCCTTAACTAGATGGTGAGTTACCCCATGAGATCCCAGCTCCAATCCAGTCACTTATGAACTCATCCTTGAGAGCTGGGTCTAGTCTCGCCAGCGTCTCCAAGCCTAGTTTATCTGATTTAAAAAAGAAGAATAACCATACAAAGATGTTTTGAAGGTTAAGGTAATGGTAGTGAATTTCAAAGCAGGCTAGACCACATGTGGAGAGTTTGACATTAGAGAATGGTTCCTATTGTTATGGTCACAAATGAATCCTAACCAAGGAATGAAGTGGAATTTTTTTTCTCTGTTCTGACAGGATCAGTGTTTGACCAATGGTATATGAAGATAAGTAAGAAGCCAAAATGATATACAATTTAATGTTCAAAATTATGATACCCACGTATGAGATAATGAGCCATCTCATACAGTGTTGGTGAAAAGATAAACTCTTGCAAGTTTTCTGCCAGTCCAGCAATGTCTAACAGTAAGTATATTGATTAAGTCATCACTTTCCAACCTCTCATTTAGCCCATATTTTCCAAAGTGGGGGTGGGGGGCAGGGGTGTCCTCCATTAAATCGTTTAAAATTTCAAAATAAATAGGTTGGTTAAAACAAATCAGAATGATGAGGGTGAAAAATAAACCCCAAATTTCTTCTATCTGCCTGTGCAGATATGACCCTCTCCTTAGAATAAATGGGTAACTTAAATTAAGGAATAAGCATGCAATGAGATCTTATAAAGTCAGTAAAAATCATATGATATTTCATGTATAGATATTTTCTTACATATGAAGTTTAGTAATTAAATTTAATAAAATCAGTAGCCAACACATAGAATATGAAGTAATATAAGATGTAGAGCATATCAGCATATAAAATATGTTGCTATACATGTATGTATCTTCCTTGAAATAGAATAAAATGTACAAAATCTTTAAGTCATCTGTAGTGTCAAACTAAGTATGTTTTTTCTTAATACATTGTTGAATTATAAAATGTTTCTGTAATTTAGCATAAATTACTTTTCAATTAAAAAACAAATCTCTGTTTAAAAAAATCCTAAAGAAGTAGCCAGTATTCTCTCAATTGCCTTTATCATTTAAATTAAACCACATTCACCACACTACAGGATCATTCCTTTTTATTGGAATTCACATAGTAGTGAATCTTTCTAAGAAAAAATCTCTGTTAAGAACCAGTTTAGGGGCTGGGGATGTGGCTCAAGCAGTAGCGCACATGCATGCGGCCAGGGTTCGATCCCCAGCACCACATACAAACAAAGCTGTGTGTCTGCCGAAAACTAAAAAATAAATATTAAAAAATTCTCTCTCTCAAAAAACAACAACAACAACAACAAAAAAACAGAACCAGTTTAGTGGCATGGTTAGAAACTTGCCTTAGGAGCCAGATTGCCTGAGGATAAGCCAAGCCCCATAGGAATACACAAAGTCTGTGTAGGGGTGGGGAAAATACTTACCTCTTTATATCTGTTTTTTTTAAATTATAAACTATAAAATGATGATAGCAATGATGCCTATCTCAAAGGGTTTTATCTAGAGACTGATAGCTGAAGGACACTCAGTAAATATAAGATATTATGACAGATTGAGTACTTGGTTCATTTGTCCCCTACTTTAATTTTTTTGTTATGAAGATACATTTTGAAAGGAAATTTTTCTGAAAAGCTTCCAGTTATTTGCTTAATGATTTCCTGAATTCTGAGATATCTACCAGTCTGTGTGCTATCAGATATTAAGGGCAATGATTTTAACAGTCCAGGATAACTTGAATAGAAGACTATTCTTCCTCAACGTCTGCTTATATTCAGCATGATGCTGAAGCTAAGGGATTTCTTCTTGATAAATTAAGCCTTGGAACTTAGCCTTGTCTTTTCCCAATCCTTTCTGTAATCTCTTTTAATGGTGAATTACCCAAATCCTAATAGTAGTCAGCCATGTTGCAAAAATGACTTTCTTAGAAAATTGCTATTAGAGTTATAAGCAGACATGCAATTCATGATCAATTCACTCTTAATTATTCTGAAGTATACAGTTTGTCAGGTGTTGATGACAGCCCTACCCCTTTCACTTTCAGGCTGGCTAGGCTACATTACGGTTGTTAAATTAGTTTTAGGTCACAAATCTCTTTTAAAGGGTTGGAAATTTTCTAGCTCGACTTTTGGGGAGTGCTCTCTAGACACATAGCAAAACTGTTATTTCCTTTAGCCATTTGGTCTACATTCACTTGTGGTGAAATACTGGTTTTATTGATACAACCTGGTCATTCCCTCTCTTTTAAAAGCCTGTGGCTGGTTTGAAATTCTGTAGGTAACTCATCTCTCAGAACCTCTCAACTTCTGTCTCTGACTCCTTTTTTTGAGGCAGGATCTTCTGCACTTCCATGTCATCCATGTTGCTTCAGACTTACTTAAGGCTTGGCCCTCTTCATGTATTAAAATTTCTTTCCTTAATATGAATTTAAAACTAGTAACTTTAAATTCATTTTCACCTTTTATAGAGTCTCTGTTATAACCATAATCTCTAATGAGAATAATTTTAAAAGTTTCATGTTTACTGAATGAATGAATTTATTGTGTAGGCATTGCATGAAGTGTTTTACGTCCTCTTAATTTTTATAGAAATATTATGGATTAGATTTGATTATCATCTCACATCTCTTTTTAAGCAGAGAAAATACAGGATTCAAGGTACTGTTTGCCGTGGTCACATAGCCAGAAGAGTAGAAGTATTCTGATTATAAAGCCTGAGCTATTAGCCACTGTGGCATAAATATCTGTATTTATTTGAGGAGGGTGGATTTTACTAAAACAAAACAAAAACAACAACAACAACAAAAAAAAACTAACTGACCACTGAAATATGTATGACAATATAAAATTAAATCTTAAACTTTATAATAAAATTTTTCAAGGGAATAAAAATTGCTACAGACTTTTATGGAAGAGAATATCATAGACAGCAAGAATAATGTTTTAAAAGCTTCTTAGAGAGGATCTTAAGCAAACATGCTCACAGATGTTCTTTCCCAATACTAGTGACCTTATTATTCTTTATATTTTAAAATTCTTAGCCTAATAGTTCACATATAATACAACCTTGGGTTATTGTCTTAAGAGAGAATAGGATCTTTAAAATTACAGTTTATTCAAAATATATTTCAGAGCAATGGTTGTTAAATTAGTTTTAGGTCACAAATCTCTTTTAATAATCTAAAAGAAAATATGGGCTTCCTCCTTATAAGAAAACAAAAAGAGCCCTGACTGCCCTCCTTAAAAAAAAAATAGTATACATCATATATGTTTCAGAGTATTCACAGATTCCCTTGAAGTCATCTATGAACACAACATTAAAAACCCTGGCTGTAAATTAGGTAAGGATCAATGTGGCAAGGAAATAGATTACAAAACCCAAGTTGATAAAGAAACTATATTTAGACTTTGATTATTATGACAATAATATTGTTTTTGCTAGCCATTGTTTCTCCTCATTTTCAAACATGGCTTTAGAAGCAATAATTATAAAGTAGAGCTAAGGATAAAGTTCAGTGACAGAGTGCTTGTCTAGCATGCATGAGGGCCTGGTTTGATCTCTAGTACCATCAACAAACAAACAAACAAAAACAGAGCTAGAGAGGAATTAAAATACAGATTGCAGAATCTTCTCTCTCTACCCCATCTACTCACAGTACTGAGTAGATGGGAAGGGAGGGGAGGTGGGGATAGTAGAGGATAGGAAAGGTAGCAGAATACAACAGTTACTAATATGGCATTATGTAAAAATGTGGATGTGTAACCGATGGGATTCTGCAATCTGTATTTGGGGTAAAAATGGGAGTTCATAACCCACTTGAATCTAATGTATGAAATATGATATGTCAAGAGTTTTGTAATGTTTTGAACAACCAATTTAAAAAAAAAGGAATCAACTGTGGCATAGCACTATCAGGTAATTCCATATTTTTTTTTCAGAAATTCCTGAGTGAATTCATCTTTCTCTTTCTGCAGTTTTTTCATTTCTTCTCTTTAAATTGCAGTTTAATGTCAAAAGAATAAATAGGACATAGCTGGACACCCTTGGTTCTGACTTAGGGTTTCATCAAAGTTGCCTTAATAGGCACTAGTAGGAGGAAGAAGTGGGGATCTAAATGGTTTCAAACCTAAACATATTATCATTTAAAAAATTTCCGTACCCTAATTACTTATTTCCTAAATGTATAAAAACTCATTTAAGTGAAGTAATGTTTTAAATTTTAAGTCTCAAGTAATCTTCTGTAGATTTCATCATTTCTGCCCCTAAATCTCCCAAGCTCAAAATAATGTTTTGTAAACATCTATTTAGAGCCTATAGCTAAATAAATTTGTTTTTTTCTCATTAAATATTAGATCTGAAATTGGAATTAGAGGTAGGAGAGAAACTTAAAAATGTCTGAGTGGGGATTCTCCATCTGTAGTTTCTCAGTGTGTATGGCTAACAGATTAG